AAAAAAAAAAAGACAAATTTAATAAAATAATAGATATTTTTCTAATTATTTATTTTAAAAGTTAAAATAATTTGTTGAAAATTTTTAATATTTTATTACCTAAATCTTTTATTTTTTAATGTGTTAGTAATAATTTATAAAATGATTTGTGTAAAATAATACATCCTAATTTTCTAAAGATTTCATAAAATAAATAACATATAGTAGATTATTAATTTTATTTATTTATTTTTTTTTTTTTAGTTAGATTTTCATGTAGATTTTAAAATTTTTTATAACCTCTTCAGATACGTATATATAATATTCTATATTTCTCTTTATTAAATGGAATGATATATAAAGAATTCTAGAAAATAAAGAGATATATAAAATTACATTAAAAAATTAAAAAGAAAAAATAAAGTATTTAAATGGATAAATTATATGGTGACTATGATAAAATTGTGGAAAAATATAAAAATAATACTTTATATAAAAGAAGAAATGAAAAAGATGGAAATAATAAAAGGGAAGTAAAAGAAAAAAGTAACTTGGATAAGAAAAAAGAAAAGGATTTAAGTAAAAAAGAAACAAATAAAAAAGATAAGAAAATAAGTGATAAAAAATTAAAGAAGGAAAATTTTCTTTTAAGTGAGAATTCTCACAATAAATTTGGTAATAATGATTCATCTAATGAAAATAAAGAACATTTATTAAAAAATAAAAGAGTAGAACATAATTTAAGAGATAGATCTTATAATCAATACAAAATAAGAAAAAAATTAAGTATAGAAATAAACAAAAAAATTTTTAGTGATTCAGAAAATATGCATATAGATGATAAATCCTTTTTAAATGATAATTTACCAGTTGATATAAATAATTTGATTATAAAAAAAAGAAAAAATAAAAATGGAGATCAAAAAATAAAACAGATACTAAATAAAAAAGATAAAATGAAATTTATGGTAAATTTTTTGTATGTTTTATATTATATATTTTTTTTCTTTCATTATATAATCGATCTTCAAGTGAATAAAATTTATAATATAGTCATTAACACCTTTATAATTATTATATTAAGTGTTCTTCTATGTTATATTCACTTTCTTAAAACAAAAAATAAAAAACTAAAAAAGATAATTTTTTATATTTCTGCTTATGTAAATTTATTATATTGTCTATATATATTTAACACATTTATTTATTGGATAAATGTATATTTAAATTTCACATTAAGTAAAAAATTATATTTAAAATATCGAACCCTTTATAAAAATGTTTCATTTATATTTTCATATTTTAACTTTGATGAAATTTTTTTTTTCCTTTTAATTTTCTATGGTCTATTTTTTTTTACTTCTTCCTTATTAACTATTACTTTATTTTACTATATTTACAACTTTATTAATTACTCTTTCTAATAAACTTTAAATTTTCTATAGGTAAATATTTTTAATGAAAAAAAAAAAAAATAATCATATGTATGCTTAATAAAAATTAAAAAATATTAAATTATAAATTGTTAACACGTATTTTAAACATAATTATTAAAAAGCTTAAAAAATAAAAGAAGATATAATATTTTTTTTATAAAATATATTTATACTTTTAATTATTGATTTATAAAAATATTTTATACTATGTTATAAAAATTAAGCTATCTTATAGTTTAAAATTAAAAAAAAAATTAAAATAAAATTACTTTTAGATTATTTCTTTTAAAAAATGTTTATCAAGATACTTTAAAAACAAAACTTTTAAATATGCAAATTGGTTGTCAATAATATATAAAAAAATAGGTATATAAAAATAACATATAAATGTGTATATATAAACAAAAAAAAAAAAAAAAAAAAAAAAAAAAAAAAAAACAAAAAATAATAATAATGATAATGATAATATGTAATAAAATAATTCATATAAAGTTAAAATAATTACGAATTCTTTTAAATCAAACAGAACGATATTCCTCATCATTTGTTGCGTCAAAACCTTTTGAGATGCTTTCAAAATTTTTATCATTAAAATAATCTATCTTTCCTTTATTTTTATTTCTATTTTTTTTCTCCGAATTCTTTTTTTTTTTTTTTTTATATTTTTCATAGTATTCTATATATCCTGTTTTCAAATTTTTTAGTTTTGGTATACTACATGGGTACTATTAAAAAAAAAAAAAAAAAAAAAATTTAATAAATAAATAAATGTAAAAAGGTATATGTATATAAATAAATAATTGAATATATACAGACAAAAAAAATTGCAAATTTACACACCTTAGAACTTAAAATATTTTGAGTAAAAAAAACATTTTTAACTATATATTCTAATGTACTTTCTACAAAAAAAAAAAAAAAAAATATATATATATATATATATATATATATATATATATATATATATATATTTGTTTATTTATTTATATAAAATTTATATCATTAAATATAATAATAATATAAAATTAGTTATTTTTATTTACAATTTATTTTATTTTTTAATACCACTATCAACATTGTAATAGCTTAAAATAATATCGTCAATTCTTTTTAATGTATTTTTTTTCTTTTCTATTTTTTGTATTAACTTTTTAGCTTCCTCACTCTATAAGTCATTTTTATATAAAAAAAAAAAAAAAAAAAATTACATTACCAAATAGCCATTGTAATAATTTTTAAAAATGAAGGCAAAAAAAAAAAAAAAAAAAAAAAAATACATTTAAATCTTGATAAGCCATTAGCATCATAACATCGTCTATTTCATTAATAAGGGAAGGCTGGAAAATAAAAGAACATAATAATGGAAAAATGAATTAAAAATGTATAATTAATATTTTATAATTAATAATAAGAAAAAAAAAAAAAAAAAAAATAAAGATATCCAATAAATTAGGATAAAATATATATATAAAGTTAGAATATAAAAAAACTAAAGAAAAGAATGTATACTAAATATAAATGAACAAACCTTTTCCTTTACATATGGAGCTAATTCTTGTTGAGAATATACTATTGCTTCATTAATATTATTCTAAATATTAAAACAAGGAAAATTTATTTATATAGGAATTGTGATAATATAAATTATAATACATATTATTATTAAAAAGAAGAAAAAATATTTTTTCTTTTTTATTGATTCACATTTAAAATTAGTTTTAGTAATTGCTGTTTTTTAAGAAAAAAAATTATATCTTTATGCTTTTTTAAAATCTACAAAATAAAAAAAAAATAAAAATAAAAAATAGATTGAGGAATATAAAAATACAAATAGTATATAAATTTATTCATTTACTCCTTGATCTAAATTATTTATGTGTTCAATAGCCTTTTCTATTTTATTGTTCATTATCTCACTTTGAATTAAATAGCGTGTTTTTACTGTATCTATTGGCATATCAGCTGAGAAAAAAAAGTTTTTATATTTATTAACTTTTTTTTTTTTTTTTTTTTT